ACCAGAAACTACATGGCAGAGTTAAAACTTCCATCTGTTAAAATATCAAAATCAGAGAGTTATTGACTAGATATGGCTTTTCATCCAGAGGAACAGGAACGTGTTTCTAAGCGCTGGGAGGTTGGAGAGGGAAGAACTCCTCAGACTGCACAGGTGTCGCCAAATCCACGTCACCCTGCTCGCCCGCCTCCGAACCCTGGACGTGATTTTTCAACTTGAGAAACTGCTGAACAAGTGGGAATCAACCATCCTGTGTTAAAAATGTGATTTTTCTTGGGTCCTTTGTAGGTGTGGAATAACACGGGGAAACTTAAGGCAAAGTTCTCTTGGTGGGACGTCTCCCGTCACTTCCTGTGAAAGTAGAGGGTCTTGGCGTTCCCGGACTCTACCTTTGGCAGCTGGTCGCTGATGATCTCCACCAGCATTGCTGGGAACTCCACTTTCAGGGCCTGGGACTCCCGGAAGGTATAGAAGCAAAATTCCAACAAGTCACTCACCAGCTGCAACACAGACAGAGGGGATGTGACGTCAAGACCTGATCCCTACCCTGTCCCAACTCTGGTGCAAGCTCAGAGCAACACTCAGAAATCCGATCATGTCTACAAGGCTGCCAAGCTAGGTAAGGTGGCCAAGTCGCCTGTCCCGGTGGAGGAAGACGGGCATTCACATCTGATGCATGTAATATGCCTGTTACATAAAACAGATTCAAACCAGAGCTATGTCATGGTTGAACATTAATTGTTTTGGTGGCAAAAGGGCCAGTAACAGTGCAGAGTGGTGGGGTCACCAAACTGCTTTCATCCAATTCTCATTTCGAAATGGGTGAACTGTATGGGGCAGGCAGGTGTGTATGTCGTTGGATGCAGGCGCTGGGCCCTGCTGAGGGAGCTGTGGCGGGGGGGGGGCAGCCCCGGCCCCTCATCTCGCCACTGTCTCCCTTCAGGTTCCCACTCCTGAGCTGGGGGCAGGGCTGAAACTTCTCCATCCCAGCCCTGGCTTATTAAGATATAACTGACATATAACTTTGTGCATTTTAAGGTGTACAAAGGGTTGACTTGATGCGCTTACAATTTGCAAAATGATTAACACCTCTATCACATTACATACTTACATTTCTTTTTTGTGATGAGAACTTTTAAGATCTCACTTGGCAGCTTTTGAGTAATACAGCATTGTTACTCTAGTCGCCGTGGTGTACACCAGATCCCCAGAACTTCCTTCTCTTATAAGCAGAAGTTCGTACTCTGACCAACATCTCGTTTCCCCACCTCTGGTAACCACGCTTCTACTCCCTGTTTCTATTAGTTTGCTTTTCCAGATCCCACGGGTAAGTGAGATCATGCAGTATTAGTCTCTGACTTATGTCACTTAGCGTCATGCCCTTAAGGTCCATCCACGTTGTTGCAAATGGTGGGGTTTCCTTCATTCTCACGGCTGAACAGTACTCCATTGTGTGTGTGTGTGTATACACCAAATCTTCTTTATCCATTTTCAGCCACTTTGAAAG